GTTCAGGCTCTCGTTTTGGCTCTCGGATTGATCTTCTTTTAGCCTAGGGACTTGGCAGCAAGGAGGAGATCTTTAGCTGGCTTTTTGGGGGAATTGCTGGAGATTTGGAGATCGACAACATGAGCTTTCTTCATCATTGGCTTATAAATCGATTTTGGTTAAATCAACTCTTTCATAGAGTTTCAAACTTGTTCAGAGTTATCAACTCATCTAGAGTTAATTTCAAACTTGCTTTGTAAGTTCTCCACAGTGTCAAATCATAAGGAGAAGATCACGTTCCAGTGAAACAAGACGTTCGGATCGTCAACGAGAAGCAAACTCGATGCGAATATTCGAGGGAGGCATCTCATCGCCACCGTGAAGAACCCAGAATTAAACAAATGGGAGGATTCAAATCAATTCTCTTCTCTTTTGTAATCGGAAATCCAAATTGTAATTGAGATTGAGAGAGAATAAAATCAAACACGATTCTTTCATTGTCTTCTTATTATAAATTTTCCACCAAACAGGAGGTTTAGTAGAATTTATATTTTAAAAATTTAGGAGAGCCATGTGGCATTTTTTGAAATTAAAGGTAGTTGTAAACCAATCACTCTTTTATATATACAAGAGAAAAGAATTAAAAATGTGATTATTTAAATACTTTTTTAATTACAGATAAGCATGATTTGATCATGATTACTAAATATCTGATTGTAATTAGAAGTTTCTAATTCTAGATAGATTTAACTTGCTAAGGATTTTAATTATGGATAGAAAATAAACTCAATCATATAGGAATTATGATTTAGTTTCAAAATAACATATGACACGTGACATTATTTTTCGAGTTTACATAACATTGTTCTATGACTTTAGAAGTACCACAAATTTCTCATTATTATTTATGAAAGAGGGAGTAGTTCAAGGGTAATGCTAGCTGATGTCATTTTGGCACTATTTTCTATCCATATGGGGAAAACTAGGAGGGGCCTCGTCATATGAACTTTCTGCCTTTGGGGCCTCGACACATTTTTCCCTTCTAATTTTTAGATTTAAAAAATGGTTCTTTGTAATTTTCAATTTTTGTAAGGATTTATTATATATAAACTTTTTGGGTAGATCTTTGTATTCTTTTTGAAGTTTTAGGGTCTTCTTGCAATTATTATATCTGTTGGAGGCCATTTCACAAATTTAAATTTTTTTAGGGTTATTTATTATTTTTGTATTTTTAAGGGATACATTTATAGTTTTTAGAGTTTTCACAAGATTATCTATAATTTTTAGAATTTTAAAGGTGGTGGTTTATAATTTTTAAAACTTTTTAGGGTTCATTACAGTTTTTAGAATTTAAAGAACTTGTTCATAATTTTTAGATTTTGCAGCGTGTTATTTGTAATTTCATATTTTTGAGAAGGTTATTTATAATTTTTATATTTATCAGTATTTTCTTGTAATTTTATAGGTTAATCTCCAAATAAGAATGACTTGAGGGGTATATGTTGGCCTTGAGGGGTAATGTTTGTCAATTTAAAATTATGAGGTATTGCCTTTTATGGGATTACGTTCAAAAACTCAAAATATTTTGGTGGATTTTTGAAATTCCAAAATTTATCAGGGGTTTTAAAAAAAATTGCGAGCTTAGTGTCAAACAATTGAACTTATTGGAGGTGTAAGTTGTCTAAAAATCACAACAGATAGCCAATCACCATCAAACACCGATGATGGAAATTACAATTCGACGGCTTCCAGAAGGCTATAATTTGAAGACTTTCATGTAGATCGATGAAGGTTACAATCTAACGACCTTCGCAACAACTGATGAAAGCTCTAATCAACAGCCTTCACAATCAACATCGGGAGTTACAATCTGACGACTCTCACATTTTTAAGGAGTTAAGACGAAGATTATAAGATGACGGTCTTTACAACGCTCTAGCAAAAAAGACTACAAATTGACGGTCTCTTCAAATCAAGACGTAGAGCTCATCTCTATGTCCCAGATTCAAAACGCAGAGGTCCTCCCTGTGTTACAACCTCAAAACACAGAGGTCATACCCAGCGCTCCAATTAAAAAAACGTAGAGTTACAGACTCAAAACGCAGAGTTCGTGGACTCAAAACGCAGAGTTCATGCAGAGCTCAACTCTGCATCCCAGGCCCAGAACGCAGAGTTCATTTCTGTGCAGCGCGATCCGTGCGTTCAACCCCCAAAATAGGCTCAACCCTGCGTTTCAAGTCTAAAACGCAGAGTTCGGACCATGAACATTAATTTTTAGCGTTTGACTTGTTCAAAGCACGAACTGAACGGTTTCAAAACTGTTTTCCCCACGATTTGGGGAGCTGTTTAAGGGGGCGGTTACACCCCATTCAGCCCCACTTAGGAGCGAATTAAGGGGACGATTATACCCCTTAATCCCCTATAAATAGCGGGAAACTCAATTGAGTTCAGGCTCTCGTTTTGGCTCTCGGATTGATCTTCTTTTAGCCTGGGGACTTGGCAGCAAGGAGGAGATCTTCAGCTGGCTTTTTGGGGGAATTGCTGGAGCTTTGGAGATCGACAACATGAGCTTTCTTCATCATTGTCTTATAAATCGATTTCGGTTAAATCAACTCTTTCATAGAGTTTCAAACCCGTTCAGAGTTATCAACTCATCTAGAGTTAATTTCAAACTTGCTTTGTAAGTTCTCCACAGCGTCAAATCATGAGGAGAAGATCATGTTCCAGTAAAACAAGACGTTCGGATCGTCAACGAGAAGCAAACTCGATGCGAGCATTCGAGGGAGGCATATCATCGCCATAGTGAAGAACCCAGAATTAAACAAATGGGAGGATTCAGATCAATTCTCTTCTCTTTTGTAATCGGTAATCCAAATTGTAATTGAGATTGAGAGAGAATAAAATCAAACATGATTCTTTCATTGTCTTCTTATTACAAATTTTCCACCAAACAGGAGGTTTAGTAGAATTTATATTTTAAAAATTTAGGAGAGCCATGTGGCATTTTTTGAAATTAAAGGTAGTTGTAAACCAATCACTCTTTTATATATAAAAGAGAAAAGAATTACAAATGTGATTATTTAAATACTTTTTTAATTACAGATAAGCATGATTTGATCATGATTACTAAATATCTGAAATGTGATTATTTAAATACTTTTTTAATTACAGATAAGCATGATTTGATCATGATTACTAAATATCTGATTGTAATTAGAAGTTTCTAATTCTAGATAGATTTAACTTGCTAAGGATTTTAATTATGGATAGAAAATAAACTCAATCATATAGGAATTATGATTTAGTTTCAAAATAACATATGACACGTGACATTATTTTTCGAGCTTACATAACATTGTTCTATGACTTTAGAAGTACTACAAATTTCTCATTATTATTTATGAAAGAGGGAGTAGTTCAAGGGTAATGCTAGCTGATGTCATTTTGGCACTATTTTTATACTACTACTCAAGAGTGTAAGACTTCTCTTTCTGAAAAAATATATTAAAGGTATCTATCTGGCACGATATAATTAGCATTACTCTAAGTTAAAACTTTAATACTTGAGGATATAATTTTGAAGCGGTAATGCTCGTAAAATAATGAAATTATCGGGCGAAAAGGTTGTACCTTTTGAAGATGCCTACTATTTTAAACAGAAAGTAATATACTAGTTTAGAAAGTCATCAATTTGCACCAATAAAAACATGAAGCAATTAGGAAACAAAGTATGTATTACATCCAAGGGCAAAAAGTTAAGCCCTTTTATTTAAAAATTCACGCATATAAAGTCCTAACCAAAATGCTCAAGTTATGCGGCTACAAGGGAAGGACTTGGGAAATTCCATCTGAAATTTAAATCCGAACCAATTTTCAGTGGGGCAGTGGTGTCTGAATGTGTGGGCCCAACATAAAGGGTGGATACGAGATATTTTAGCCTCGGCGATTGACAGTTAGGGCCTGTTTGGTTGGTTTCCTAAAATCAAAGAAAAAGAAATCGGTACAAGGAAATTAATAAAATAATATTTTTATTCATTTCCATCCCTAAAACTCACCCATAACATCTAATAAAATATTATTTTTATCATCCAACTCATCTCATTTCATCTCCTATCTTACCTTTAAAAATAAACCAAACAAAAGAAATGTGTCACATCATCCAACTCATCACATCTCTTCTTATCTTATTTTTAAAAATCACACACATCATCCAATAATATTGTGACAACTCATCTCATCTCATTAAACCTTCCTTTCCATTCATTTCCTCAAAAAAAAACAAGAAATTGATTTCCTTAAGTATGTGTCACATCATCCAATAATATATCTACAACTCATCTCATCTCATCTATTTTCTTATTTTTAAAAACGAACCAAACACAAACAACCTCAAAATATCATCCAATAATATACCTCCAATTCATTTCCTTATTGTTTTAACCAACCAAACAACATTAAAACAATTTTTTAAAAAAATCACTCACATCATCCAATAATAAGGTGACAACTCATCTCATCCCATCTCCTATTTTATAATTTCCTTCTTTTTTAAACCAACCAAACAACATCAAAACAATTATAATAGGAAATAGGTTTCCTATTCTTTGATTTCCCTTTCTCTTTTGCGAAACGAACAGCTTAGCGAACACTGGCTCATCATTTAAAATTCAAATTTCCAATGGCTGGCAGAGCAGCAGCATTGACTCGTAAAAATGGGCTGGAGTTGATCACTTCGCTAACATTGGTCCGCGCCACGACCCAGCAATTCAATTTACTTCTACCGTAAGAAAACTCGTACGGTAGCATTATGAGATGCATGATGTTTTCACAGTGTATGATATTGGGTCACATCAAACTTCATACTTGCAGCTCAGGCGATCTTATGCTCGAATCAAGAGTTGAACAGACAAGATATTACTTTCTAGAGTCAAACGCCTGACTAGCCGCTGAAGTTACACAATCCTTGATCATAGCTTTGCATGATCCATTCAAGAAAAAGCAATGCACAGACAGCTCATATAGAAGACCCGGATATGATTTTCATAACCACCACAAATGTTGAAATAATGAAATTTATGAACACTGCGCTAGTAAAGCGCTTCTAATTGAAAATTTGTGCATCTAAGAGCAGCTTGCTCCACAAGTTCAAGTTAATCACATGCATTAGTGCTTGAAGCAAGATACTAAAAAGCAAGTTTGTCAAAGGAAAAAAAAAGAGTCAAATTGGTACCACAGATTTACGTTCCCTTGAATTTTGCTCACTGTTTATAATCATCAAAATAAGCAATGACAAGACGATCTTTGCACATAAGGACTCAAAAAGTCATACGGAGGCGAGATTTGCAGCTGAAGCAATGCCATGTTAGGGGTCACGCAAATTCCACAGCTGCCTGCCTTTCGGAAAGCATTACGGTAAAAACCTGAGATCTTCACGCATGAGATCGAGCCATCAAGCTCCAAAGAATTCCTCAGGCAGATGAAATTTCAGTCCAAGTGTCTGGAAAAAAATAATAAATAAATAAACATGCCATAGTCAACAACCAGCGTGATTTAGGTGCAAGGAAAATTAGCTCAGTGGAATAGCTGATCATCTGCATAAAGTAATGATTTGAGTTGTGAATCTAAGTTTTATTTGAATCATCCATTCAGTGCTAATCTGATCAATTAAGAAAAATGGAAGTATGGTTCTCAAAATATCTGCACGTATTTATATTGTCACAAATATATAAAATAAGAAATTTGCATAGAAGGAGGAGCTTAGCATGCAAACTGAAGTTCGTTTACAGAACACACTATCAAGTGTTTATCCCTTTATGTTCGGTAAACATAGGTACACTGCATGTGTTCAAAGGGGGTGGGTGGGTGGCATTGGTGTGTGCGCACGCGCGAAGGGGGTTAAATGTACATTTACGAATCAGTTTTTCACTGTGCATATTCAAGTTGCAGAAGCCTGTTCTTCCTGTGAAATCTCCGTACCCTCTTTGTAATCACTCTGCAATAAGGCTTCAAGTAACAAGTTTAGTGGATTCATGATGCACTAGGATTTAAGAAGGATCAGGAAGTAAAACAGTGGAAGAAAGGCCAAATGAGATGTTCAAGATCCATTTGAGGTGCAAAACTATGTATGTTATTATAATTTTCATATTTTTATGTGAAACACGATATAAGAGTTTTAAGTGTAAGGGAAAACATATAGTAGGTTGTGATTTGGTATACTGTATTTAAGCCCATTTTTACTGTATTATAGTTGACACCGGCATTTGCATTTCCGACTGTGACCATGTCTTCCTTCTTTGTGTAAGCAATTTAATCTGGGAAAGTCATGAAGGCTGATCATTTTCTGAAATCCTTTCACAAGCCTTCTTAGCTTCACATGATCCTATAAACTCACAACCCTATTCAATTAAATAGCAATTTATATTTCCCTTCCTTTTGATCTTTTTGCCCGATTAATTAATTTAAGTCTTTATGTAATTCATACTAATGCAGCACAGCAGAGGACATACATGTGTGTGCATGTGTTTGTTTTCTGTGTTTTTTGTTTGTTTGGGTCAACTACCTATTTCCTTATGATCTCCTGACTTAGGTCTCCTTTTTTGGGTCATATAGTCTCCCGTTATTTGCCACCCCGATCCGGATCCTCTACTTCTCTATCAACAACACAAGTTGAGTACCATATCCAACATCAAGAAAACAAAATTGATGTATATATTCCAATCTTGCAGCCAAAAATGATAGTTAGCAACTCACAAGCCAGGATCAGTCTCTCCATGTTTATATTGCCTTAGAAAATGGTTTTAGGCTACACTAACATTTATACTTTCATTAGACCATTGGGTTCGGTTGTTCCTACTTTCTATTTTATCAAATATAAACCTTAATAAAATTAATCATGTGTTGATATACTTAGTTGCATAAACTGTCAAATCCTGCATGATTATGAATGTATCTCACCAACTAGTCACTAGATAAATGAATCAGCGAAACCTAGCAAATTCCCGCAGCCCAATGTTGCATGATGACACGTGTTTGGTGGAAAATTGGTAGTAAAAGAAATAAAAGAAAATTTTGATTTGTATTCTCTCAATCTCGATTACAATTTAGATTCCCGATTACAAAAGAGAGGAGAATGGATCTGACTTCTCCCCTTTGTTTAATTCTGGGTTCTTCACGGTGGCGATGGAGTGCCTCCCTCGAATGCTCACGTCGAGTTTGCTCTCCGTTGACTATCCGACCATATTGTTTCACTGGAACGGTATCTCCTCACGATTTGACGCTGTGGAGAACTTGCAAAGCTAAGTTTTAGAACTCTTGATGAGTTGATAACTCTGAACGAGTTTGAAACTCTATGAAAGAGTTGATTTAACCGAAAATCGGTTTGACAAGCCAAGGCCGAAGGCTCCAAGGAACTTTGTCGCTGCAGGAAGCTCCAGCAATTCCCCCCAAAAAGTTAGCCGAAGATCTCTTCTTTGCTGCCCAAAAAGAAGGATCAATCCCAGAGCTAAAAAATCCCCCAAACTCAATTGAGTTTCCCACTATTTATCGGGGATTAATGGGTATAATCGCCCCCTTAATTCGCTTCTAAATGGGGCTGAATGGGGTGTAACCGCCCCCCTTAAACAGCTCCCCAAATCGTCGGGAGAACGGTTTTGAAACCGTCCAGTTCGTAATTTGAACGAGTCAAACGCTGAAAAATAGCGTTCAGGGCCCGAACTCTGCGTTTTGGGCCCGAACTCTGCGTTTTAGACTAAAAACGCAGAGTTAGGCCTATTTTGGTGGTTGAACGCACAGGTCGCGCTGCGTTGTAAATCTAAAATGCAGAGTTGGGACGCAGAGATGAACTCCGCGTTTTGGACCTGAGACGCAGAGTTGGGCTCTGCATGAACTCTGCGTTTTGGACCTAAGACGCAGAGTTGGACTCTGCATGAACTCTGCGTTTCTGAGTCCACGAACTCTGCGTCTGGACTGGAATGCTGGGGATGGCCCTTGCGTTTTGACTCTGGAACATGGGTATGACCTCTGCGTTTTGATGGTATAACACAGGGATGACCTCTGCGTTTTGATGGTGAAACGCAGGGATGACCTCTGTGTTTTGATGTGAAGAGACCATCAATTTGTGATCTTTTTTGCTGGTGCGTTGCAAAGACCGTCATCATGTAATCTTCATCTTGACTCCTTGCAAATATGAGAGTCGTCAGATTGTAACTCCCGATGTTGATTGTGAATGCTGTTGATTAGAGTTTTCATCAGTTGTTGTGAAGGTCGTCAGATTGTAACCTTCATCGATCTACGTGAAGCTGTTGATTAGAGTTTTCATCAGTTGTTGTGAAGGTCGTCAGATTGTAACCTTCATCGATCTACGTGAAAGTCTTCAAATTATATGTAACCTTCATCGATCTACGTGAAAGTCTTCAAATTATAACCTTCTGGAAGTCGTCAGATTGTAACTTTCATCATCGGTGTTTGATGGAGGATCAAGTATCTATTGTGATTTTTAGACAGCCTACAACACGCCAACAAGAACATGACACTGCAACATGGCAAAATTCAAGATGCAACCTCCACAAGTTTAGTCTGTTTAGAGATCTCAGTTTCAGACTCAAAACATTTACAAGTTAGGTAAGTTCAGTAAGACCTTCTAGTTTTAGAAGGTTACATATCGAGTTTCACTTCAATCATCAGTATATACATAAACACATTCATAAGAATAAATAAATAAATATTGCCTCAACCATACCTGAGCAAATTTAATATCGGCATCACTATGATCATTGACTCTTCCTGCCGCATCACCAACATAAAAGGATCTGCTAAATTAAGAAGGATACGATCATACAATGCTATAATCAAATTGGAAGAGCACATAAATACCAGTTAAACAAGTACTAGACGTAATCTATCAGTGAAACTGGTGCAATTCATCAATATAAATTGTCAACACTTCTGTACTGCAGCAAAATGGCATCTAAAATATCAAAAAGATGAAGATATTTAAGGAAGAATTCAACCTAAGCACCCATATCACTTCTTTAAATTCAGAAGGTCACGGTCGTTTTTCTTGGAATGACAATCATGAGAGGATTGCGATGATACCTCAAAAATCCAAGCTAAAAAAAAAAGACAATTACGAGAGGATATTATATGTAGTTGAATCAATAAAACGCTTGCACTGAGAATAGACCCGGCACTAGTTTTTTTTCAACAAAATTCTGTATTGGAGCAACCCTCCTCGGTTGTAAACAATCCTCAAACAAATAGCAGTGATACTTGCACCATTAGTATATGTGACCAAAGGCACGTTGTGCACCTGATTGGAGATATTCAGTGGGCAGTAGAGAAGAGGCCTCTTGGTCTTTGGACTAATGATAAAGTTAACACTGCTCAAGCAAGAAAGATTGAAAAGGCATCGCATACCAACAAAGATACTACAACCGTGTAAGTAGAATAGTAATACAAAATTCAACTAACAGAAAAGTGGGCAAGACGCACGCAACATGGCATTTTCACTTTGTAACAGAACTAAGATGTAAGTTAATGTTCATTCAAAAAATTAACTGTGTTTTATCGTATGAATTATGCAGAAAACAAGAAATCAAATTTTAGTTATGCATCCGGACCACATGACAACTACAACATCTATGGCCTAACATTGTTTACATGATAAAATCAATCCGCCCCAAAACACACACGAACAGAAGAACATAGAAGTGCATGAAAAACGTATGAAAGACGTAACATGAAGAGACTAGTTGGTCCTCTTTTTTATAATAGTCCAGCTGCACAGAAAGAAAGAAAGAAAGGGGGGAGGGAGAGATAACTGATCCAAGTCAATTGCAATGCCAGAATTGAAGTGTTCTGCCATTAGTATCCACATTCCTGGCTTTGGTTTGCGAAATGGATCCTCAGTCTGATCTTTGTTTTTCCCTATCCCACAGGCAATAAACACCTGCAATCAAATCAATGGGAAGTATCAGCACACTGCATATTTTTACAGCAGCTATATATGACAGTGTTTTTCTTCCCTGAAATCAGAAGCATATTCTAAAACCAATGTAGAATCATGCAAACAATTTAAACAGCTGCGGGAGTTACATTATAGCAATACCAGCATGTTAAGTCGAAGGTTGACAATAATGTTTCACTTTAAAAAAAGTTACTTCATAGAACCTGAATTGGTACTTTAACACGACCGATAAAGTTGTCCAGCCTTCCTATTTTGGAATCAACAGCTTGTTGGCGCTTATTCTTCCAACGTTCAATATTAGATTCATTGGTAAAGATAACCTGATTATACAGAATAAAAATGATAACATGAACACATTACCTCCCATATGTAAAATATGAAGTATTTTTCTTGTTAATAACTACAAAGAATTTTAAATGAATAGACAGGTTCGCGCAAAGTATTTAAATAATGAAGGGCAGAACATAGAGCAAGTGAGAGTCCAACCAGCTTGTAACCATTCTTGTACAGTTCTTGCAGCTTATCTGGGATTGATGAATGCATAAGAGACCAGGCATTTGCACCAATTCTGTGTCACATGTTCAGTTCAAGCTATCAATGTTTAATAGAGAAGCTTAATTATAAAAGTACGTACACAGAGATCAGTTAAAGTTTAGACAGTCCAATAAATAGCATTTCCTGCTAAACTTTGCTCTAAAGTCTACAATACGCGCAATACCTTTCCCACCAAAAAGTATGCATGCCTTGACACACCTGAACATGACATGTTATGTCGATACTACCTTTGCAATTCAATTAATTTCTGGGAATAATCAATATAATTATTCTCCAAGCAACAGTTCCACGAATACTATTGGTACCTTTTCACAGATGTGTTCACAAGGCACCCATCAAAATCAAATGCAGCAATTTTTTCAGAGTCGTTAAGCCCGTCTTCCTTAACACAAAAAAGAATATATAAGTTACATGATATATTGATATGGTAGTTGAAAAAAATTTCGAAGAAATTTACATCTTCATGATAAACAATAATGAATTGTAAAATAAAAGAGAATAATAAGAGAAAACTCCATTCCCCTTCAGTATATCAGCAAACAAGGTAACCTGAATTTTCAATTGCAAGATAATGATGTCAGTTAAGGACCCAAGTACAAACCAAAATTACAGGAAGAACAAATGGGAAAGCACTACATAAGCAACTCAATGAGATTGAAACATTAAATGGAATAATAGTTCTCCAGTCTGCACTTCCAATTAGATTCCAAGCAAACTACATTCTCACACAAAGAACTTAAAAAGAACCATGCATACATTAAATCAAAATGAGGAGGAAAACCTGTAGTTAAAGTGTTGCGTAGAGGAGGAACTTGATGACAGATTGATACTAATCGATTAAAAGGCCTGTACCGGACGGACTGCAGAGACTGAGGAATAGAATCTGGAGTTCTGGACATAAAAGAGCCAAGGAGCGAGATCAACTCGATCTGCATGAACAATTTGATGCACTTTTTTTCTTTGGCATCAGCTTCTTTTTTCAATCTCTGTGAAGCTCATGGCATAGAAGAAAGATAAACTAGAATGATATCGACACAAAGACCTAAAGAGGATGGATGTAAAGGAAGTTTCACCATGGTTGCATACTAACTCAGGAGAGGATATAATCATGTAAGTACCCAAGTTAAGAGGGTAGAGGGAGTTGTTGATTATAATCCACTCAAACTCCTCAAGCCAAGTTAGAAGAATCCACTAAGATCCAGTGTTGTAAATAGCAGGCAATTGCGGCCGCAATTGCATTAGCGGCCCTTGCCCACGATGATTTTGGCCATAACAGTGAGAAAAAGCGCTGAAAACCGTTATTCACTCGAAATAGCGGAGAAAAGCGTCAAATAGCGAGCGGTTAATAGCGCTTTTGAGCGCTATTAGCACTTTTGAGCGCTATTAGCACTTTTTTGGTTGATTTTTATAAAAAGCCCGACCCGAATTAAACCCGAACCTGACCCGACTTATAAAACCCTCTCTCTTTCTCTTCTGTATTCAACTACCTCCACCTCTTTCTCAATAAACCCTAAGTAAACCTCTTTTGAGCGCTATTAGCACTTTTTTTGGTTGATTTTATAAAAAGCCCGACCCGAATTAAACCCGAACCTGACCCGACTTATAAAACCCTCTCTCTTTCTCTTCTGTATTCAACTACCTCCGCCTCTTTCTCAATAAACCCTAAGTAAACCTCCCTCCCTCCCTCCCTCCCTCTCACTCTCGCTCTCGTGTTTGACGAGCTCCAGCTCCGCTGCCTCCCTCCACCACTCCTCCGCCTTCTCTCCAAATCCTCCAACTCCTCGACGAGCTCCATTTCCTCTCCTCGACGCTGCAGCAAACAATAGTCTCCTTGACTAGCTCAATCTCCATCTCCTCTCCTCTCTCCTCTCCAGAACCTCCAATTGCCTTTGCTCCATCTCCTCGACGAAGCCTTGTCCTTGCATTGGTTTTTCTTATTTTTTAGAATATTTAAATATATTCAAATTGGGCGCTATTTGACTACACGCTATTTGCCGCTATAGGCGCAAATAGCCTTAGCGGTGCCTCAGCGCTATGCGACGCTGTCCACTATCGATAACCTTGCTAAGATCTCTCATGTAAGAGGTCCTTTGTGATTGCACAAGAGTCGTCAAGGTTTTTTAGTGTGCAGTTTGAACCATACAATAATGAATAGTGACATTTGGAAACTCAGTCCACAAAACCCAAAGGACATGACTGCATTCATGGCCAGAGGGAAATTGACCAAGAAATAAGGGAAAAGATTTCTCCCTTTTAACCTCTCTTCAACCAGCCAATCTGATTCCCAGGTTCTGCAGACTTGGATCCGATCACATAGCTGGAAAGTATTTCAGCGTTGAGGGAGAGGAATGAATTCTTAAGACTTTGTTCAGGCGCAATGGGATCTAAGCAAGTTGGCTTGCAGACACATTGCCCTCTGAGCTAAAACATATTGAAGGATGCTCAGCTGAGTTCATGTAACATTGCAACAAGGTTGCTGATAGCGGATCGCGACGCGTCGCGGCGAGGTACCGCTAAGGTTATATCGGGCTATTGCGGCGAAATCACGGCAAATAGCGCACAGTCAAATAGCGGTCAAATTTAAATATATTTAAATATCCTAAATAATAAGAAAATTCATAAAAAATCTAAAAATTCAATTAGTTGTAAATTTCTTGTATTATCAATAGATAACAATTAATAAGCTTGTTGTATGAATGAAACTATGAAGAAATTCAAGAAATATAGCATCATAATATGTGTGATAGCGGGTTTAGCCGCTTTTAACAACAAAAATCCGCTTTTAACCGCGAAAATCCGCTTTTAACCGCGAAAACCCGCTTTTAACCCGCTAAAATCCGCTTTTACGCGCTATTCGAATGAATAGCAGATTTTCCCGCTTAAGCCAGCCGCGAAACCCCTACGCGTAGCGCTGAAGGGCCGCGACCACTATTCGCGCCGCTATAGCCCCGCTATTGGCCGCTATTTACAACACTGCATTGCAACAACCTTAAATGCATAACCTTGGGCTGACAATGTAACAATAACAAGAGCACTGAGATTCTCTATATTGTGCAATCATACTTTGGAAATTACATCAATTTTAAGTATTTCTTTGGTCATATTTTTCTCCTTTCCTGAACACTGCAATAGTGCCATGTCCTAATATCCACCTACGAATTCATAACACTCTCATCCTAGCTAATCTAACCTAAAATTATGAATCAGACTCTTCGTCTATATGACATAGCAAAACAGAAAACGATAAAGCGATAAAATCAGAGTGTAAATAACCATAACTGAATCAAAATATAAATGCAGAAGGTAAAACAAAGATGACTTTAAACATAGTAATCACATCTTCATAATAACAAATTCTAAAATTCAAAATTATTCTCACCCGTTCACGGAAAATAACTGTTTGAAAGGACTTCCAATTTGGTGAAAGGGTAGCATCCTGGAGAAAAGCCAAAAGAACAAAATTTATGAAGAATTGCATTTATGCAGTGAAGAAATAAATGAAGCACAGGCCCAAGCCTACATGTTCATAAATATATAAGTATTATGGTTTTAAACAAATGGGTGCATAGAAGATAATACTGATATAAGTATACAATGGAAGAAAAATTCACCTTGTATGTTTTCCTGATATCAGAAACAGAAAATGCAACCTCCAAAAGATTTTCCATGCTATCACCAGATCTCTGTATAACAAGTTTGTGTGAGTTATCCAACTCAGCTATATGGAAACAACAAAAGTTCTAACAAAGGAAATAAAACATGAACAGATAAAGACTTATCATGTCACGCCCCCAAACCACGCAACATAATCCGGGGTTCAAGACAATGGCGACACGTGCGTGAACACATGTCAAGCCTACTGTGCGCTTCTATATTTTTAACAAATATTTCATAAATGAGAACTTTATTGGAGTTTTGAAGTCTCAGAGGAATCACATTATAACAAGCACAATATAGATATTACAACTAGTGAGTCATTAGGCTCTTATTACATAATTATGTCAAGAATAAGATCTCCAGAAGATGTTAATCCTCCAAACTAAGGGTAGAACAATCTATCCGAAAAGAATAACAAATAAAGGGTGAGTTTGTAACTCAATGAATATATATCTTCTCATTAGCAGATCAGACAAGTTTAATAATTACTACTACTAAATTTTTCAACAAATCATTGTCAACAGAAAGAACGATCAGAGAGCATATTAGATATTAAAATAGAAAAATTTCTAACATATATAAGATGCAGTACATCATTATATAAAAAGTATATAAACACAAACAATAAAAAGAAACACCAATTCCCTTTATATTGTAATTGTTCATATAAATCACATTTTGAAAAAAAAACACCTCAAGTCGTCACACTAAGGCTACGAAAATTATAGCCCAGTAGCATGAGAATGCGCTCAATCACATATAAGTCAACTTGGGGTTAGGGTATACCTAGCACTACCATAGGTTGCCAAAAAGGCCACATTCATATATTTGCCAAAAAGACCACTATTCGGTATACTCAATGCTATATGGTAGGCTTAAACAAATCAATCACTCCATAGTGGACTTTTGAGGGCCTTTTCACGAAATTAGAATATTCACGAATTTTTATAGGAAAATAATATTTTTGCCAAATCTGAATTTTTCCATGAAAGTCATATGAATGATGAAGTCAAGTATGTTTTAATGTTTGATAGCATGGTTTCAGTAACTTACATATACTAATATTACTTATTGTGAAAAAAATAAATAATTATCACAATACCAACTTCTTTTAATATTTTTTTCATAAGTAAACAAGATATAACATGTCTGATCCAACAATGTTTTATAAAAATAAGATTTGTTTAACGTAATATATAATTTATATCAAAACAATTTGAAATAACCAATGAGAAGAAATCTACTCACCTTAGCAAATCCAGAATTATTTTGATACACAAACCCCTAGCTCAATCCTCACTTGATCCTATAGTAATACATTACATATGAATTCTAACTTAAACAGAGAACAATCATTCTTAATCAATTTTAATCATTTTATTAAATTTTTTAAGGTAAAATATAGTTTATGGACTTAAAAGTAAATATCTAGAATTGAAGGACGAAGATAAAATATCTAGAATTTAAGGACGAAGACACACTTTTTAAATATTTTTAAAGCTAAATTGCGAGATTAAAAACAGAAACTTAAACACGTACCTAGCTTTCTACTCTTCTCCTTTCTTTCTCTATTCTTAGAACTTCTCTTGTGTGAGGGTACAACTAAAGATTGGGTTCAATTTATAGAGCTCCAAAGTTGTCAAATTTTGACTTTTCAATTTGTCTTTTTTATTACTATTGAGTTATGAAACTCATTGTTCTTGTGAAAGTGATCACATTTTTCTTGGTTGAGATTTACAAAATTTTAAAGTTTTTATTTTAAACTTTTACTCTAAATTTTCACATACTATTGAGGTAGGAAACAAAATTTTCTTATGAGTTTGGATGAAAATATTTTGTGAGGGTAAGCTAAAGAACTCGAATTTGATTTTGCTTCTAATTAAATGTGGGTGTTCACATCCTCCCTAGCTAAAATAAAGTTTCGTCCTCGAACTATACATACCTTCGTTCTCAAAAAGTCGTGGATATTTCTCTCGCATTTCATCCTCAAGTTCCCATGGTGTTTTTTGGCAACCGTAGTGCTAGGTATACACTATTCCCAAGTTAACTTATATGTGATTGATGCACATTCCCATACTACTGGGCTATAATTTCCGTAGCCTTAGTGTGACGATTGAGGTGATTTTTTTCAAATTTATATGAATAATTACAATGTAAATGTAATTAGTGTTTCTTTTCATTGTTTGTATTTAAATACTCTTTATATAATGCTCCTACTGCATCTTATATATGTTAGAAAATTTTCTATTTCAATATCTAATATGCTCTCTGATCATTCTTTTAGTTGATAGTGGCCTATTTGAAAATTTAGTAGTAGTAATTATTTAACTTGTCCAATCGGCTAATGAGGAGTTATCTATTTATTGAATTGTGAGCTCACCCTTTATTTTCTATTCTTTTCAGATAAAGATTAGATTGTTCTACCTTAGCTTGGAGGATTAAAATCTTCTGGTGATCTTATTAGCAATATTATGTTTGTCTTAGATAAATCAACATAATTATATAACAAGAGTCTAATGACTCACTAGTTGTAATATTTGTATTGTGCTTGTTATAATGTTGTTCCTCTGAGACTTCTAAACCTCAATAAAGTTTTTCTTTATGAAGTATTTGTTAAAAATATAAAAGAGCATAGTAGGCTTGACATGTGTTCAAGCACATGTCGCCGGTGTCACGACTCACGAACCCAGATTATGCTACGCGGTTTGGAAGCGTGACATATCACAGGAAAACCATATAAAAATAAACTTGGATTAATGATTCAATAGCCATATTTTAGTTGGTTATCTTAAACATCTTCATGGAAAAATCACTGTTCTTATAGCTTTCACCAATTACAGTCCATTCATATTTATGAGTGAATTTTTGAAGTGTTTGGCAAGCAAGACAATCAAGATTCACAGTTGTGGTTGCAAGCTATTTTTGCGAGGAAAAGAGGAGTTTATCACCTTGATGTTTGTGATAACATTAATTGACATGAAAGCTCACCATGAATAAACTTGCTATATGTACACATACACACGCACGCACACGCATTCAGGAAGATAAATGTATGATAATTATCTTTTGGAAGGACCTACTGACCAAGAAGTTGTCCATTTCATTTTTACTAATTGATCTAATAAGATAATAATTTTGGCACTTGGGAATCAAGATAATTTATTGGCTGAAATATCTGTGGTCCCACAGATAAATGAAGGAGGCAGACAATTATGCGAATAATATTGGAGTTTCAAGGTTCCATATCTTCTGCATATAGTCCTAAAAGATCAAATTAATCCTACTATCAACCCACTGTATAGCCCTAAAACTTACAGTTCCATAGTCAAATTGGTGCAAAGGTTCCAGTTTAACAGAGTATGCTTACAAGAGGCATATAACTGATTGTCGACTCATTTAATGAGGAAGAATTTAAAAAACACCAGCAGTGTCTCCTCTCAAGAAACAAAGTTCGGTTATTGTCGCAAAACTAACGCTGACATGATATCAAATCTGCACAAGTGTTCCATCCATCATCTGGAAACCATGAGGCCTCCATTCTAATGATCCAACTTTATTTATTGTGAAGTGGTTTATGAAGATCCAACCATCAATGCATGAAGAGTGACCTCACTACAGTTAACAAGCAAAAAAGACCAAAACTACTGTGCACTCCAGATTGGCTCCTTTCAGATGTGACCTTCAATTTTGTTTGAAGATGTACACAATTTACCCGTTGGAATATGACTATAGAAGGTATGTTCTTGGCCTCCCCACCTGCAGCTTACCACTCAAACTAAAATTTATTCAGATCTCTACATTCTACAATGCCAGCTTTCATGCTTTCTTCCCCCCATTTTAGATTTTTTTTAGCACTCCATTTCCTACTTAGAAGCATTTCACTGGCTTTTCAAGGGGGGGAAATCATCATTATCCTTAAGAGCAATCCTAGATCACTATAAATAACTTTTAAGTCATGATATAACAATTAGGGGATGAAAACCAAACACCAGAACTCCATCATATTCTCCAACATGGAAAATATTATGTTTCTATAAGGTTTATTTCCAAAATAAGAATTCACAAACAATTATTGTCCTTGAGACAGACAATCTACCTTCACCTCCTCCAAGCTCTTCTGTTCAAATTCCTCGCTCCCACCACTGTCTCTATCATAAATCTGTGTGTAAAAAAAGGCTCATATCACCTATAAAAACCCAGTAGCACGGATTGTTAAAACTATTTTCAATCAATGTTTACCTTAACTTTCTTCGTATTCCTCTCTAATCCATCAGTTCCATGGCGATCCCTTTTGTGTTCCTGAAACAGAATAAATTACATCCAGTGTTATCAATGCGCAAGGCGCAATGCGGAGCGCAAAGCATTTTTACGCGCACATGCGCAAGGCGCAACGCGATGCGCGCGCCTGAGTGATGTGAGGCGCACACCGCCCGCATAATTTTTAAAAAAATATAATCAAGTGCGAAAGAGCATGTTTTTAGAATTCACATAAAAAATGTCATGATAAATAATATCTTACTACAAAATTACAATATAATGCCTTAATTTCTAATGCTAACACCCAACATAGTAGCAAAATTCATAAATTTTCAAATCAAATGTTACATCAAGACTAATATTCAAGCAAACGATTAGTAATGGTCCTCAATTGAAGGCTACTAAAAAGGCCTAATGGATTTATTTTTCTTTTTGGGATATGGATTATCAACTATAAAGACTCGATTGAAATGTTAACAAACAAAACTATATGAGGATATGTACTACATGCACCCTACACAAAGTAAGGATGTACGCGAGGCGCAAAAGGCGTTGTTGCATCAGAAGTGGGGCGCTTCATCACCGCCCCGCATCGCGCTTCATCACCGCCCCGCATCGTAAGGCGCATGAGGCGCAATGAGGCGCGCGCCTTTGAAAACACTGATTACATCAAAGACAAGAACAACTCTAACTACTCCTGATCTCACAGGTCAGATCTAGTAAGCAGCGACTATGTAGCCATAGGCTAAATATCCATATACGTTACAATTAGACTATGAAGGGGGGAAAAACAATGCTGCAAATACATACTACATTCAAAACATTAATGCAGATTAGCCAAAAGGATCAATTATGAGGTTGAATTGTATATATTTCATAGATTTTATATCAGCAAAAGAGCATATCACATGGAGCAAACTATACAGTGGCAGTGAAGTAGGGCAATTGAGGAAGGCAGTCCACTGACCTAAAAATATATACAAATATATCTATCTTCAAACCCTTCGCATAAAGCATGATGCAAATGTAAATGTTTGATGAAATAACAGAAGCCCCAATTTTTCCTCAAATCATGATGAAATTAACCCAATGAAGACACAAGACAGCAAAATAGAGAATTGAACAATACCTTTTCAACCGGCTCATCGGATGATGCCGCAGCCTCTAACTTCCTCAGTGCATCCTGATCACAATCCTGCAATCTCCACGCAAGTACATTATGATAAGAAAAAGAATAACCCTGACGAGAACAAACCCTCAAGGATCGGAAAAAAGAAACAAACAATTTTGTACCTTGAGAGAAGGAAACCCCTTGATCTCGTCGGCGGCCTTGAACGGCTGGGGTCTGGTCGGAAAGCAACCCAAGTGATGCCATTTGACGAGATCGAACCCTCGAGGATCTTTACTCGACAACCCTAGCCTCAGAGAACCGGATGCTATGGATTTTCCGCAGCTCTTGCAGGACGATCGGTTGGATTTCGCGTACTCGGCGACTACTTTGGATGCCGCCATTGGAGAAAGCGAAGCGCCGGCGATGAACACTGAGGGGTTTAAGAGATTAGGGTTTCGAGGGGGGAAAAGCGAGAGCTTTGTGAAGAGGAAGTGCATACAGAGAGAGAGAGAGAGAGAGGGAGAGAGGGAGGAGGAGCTAGGGTTTTATAAGGCGATGAGGTTTGCGGGCGGGAAGCTCGGAGGCGAGTGAGATGAGGATTTGGGAACCTTCGCCCGCTACTTTTTAATACAAAACTACCCCTTCTTTATTACACGCAAATCGGGCCGAAAATCGCGAGATTAGGGTGTTTTTTATTGGATTTGGAGACCACTACTTTTAATCTCAAGCATTGATTATTTAGTAGGCGGTTATGATACAATCTAAATCTAACACTTACCATACCCCCGTGTATTGCACTCATTCCTAATTTGCACTAAAAGAAAAAATCATAACCATCAACTAGATAATCAATGGTTGTGATTATTTGCACTAAAAGAAAAAATCATAACCATCAACTAGATAATCAATGGTTGTGATTATGTAGTGGTCCTTCCACTATTTTTTTTGTAGTGGAGAGGATCCGAATCCTTTTTTATTTTTATTAATCCAAGTCTGTAATTAAATTCAAAGAATGTGAGAGTTATATTGTAATTTTGTACTATAATAAAGCATCGAGAATCTCTGAAATAAATGTGAATGGTACTATATTGATCATATGTTTAGAATTGGTTATGTCACACGCAAAAATCACATTTTATTTTATTTTTAGCTTAGGGCCCGTTTGTTTGCACGGAAGTAACTGTGAAATAGCAGAAGTAGAAGAAGTAGATGCTACTTCTGCTACTTATTGGCAAAAATGTATGTTTGTTTCTTTTGAAAATCTGCTTCCGCTACTTCCTTAAATGATGGTGTGGCGTCTACGTGGCATCTCCATTTCCTTGATATTTTTTCATCTTCGAATGCACTGAAATACGTCGGAAGTTGATGTAGGGTGAGGTCTACGAGGAAAAAAAGATTCTCAAATATATAATTAAGAAGCGATCAGATTATTTTCACAACCGACTCCCTCACAACAGATTCTCAAGTATATAATTATTTGTTTATATTTGTTACTTGAGCAACAAAACTTCTGTTAGGTTGCTTCCTGATTGGATAGTTGCAAGGAACTGCTTATTTGCTACCAATTTAATGTTTTTAGTACTTCCATTATCTAAACGGGCCCTTAGTTGACCCCGTCGTTTCCTCTACTTTGCACGTGCATATCCTAACTCGTTTTGACTAGCATTTATGGGTGCTCGATCCACAAAGACGTAAAGATAATTTCCGACTAGATTAATATGGTGCATATATGAGTCCTATTATCATCACATCTTAATTACAGAATCCAACTCATCCTATTCCTCAATCACCGACATAATTACAAAATCAGAAGAACAAGCACTAGAAATCCGGTAACCAAACCGACCGCTCTCCCAACCAAATTACCCCGACCATCCGAACCCGACAAGCTCAGCTTCGAACCCGAACCCGGCGGGTCCGACACCACCAAGTGCTGTATCGTCGAACCATTCAGACCCCCACAATCCCCGACGGAGTTCGCTTGCGGATCACAGTAACTAACACCCGATAATGAATCGAACCCGTCCATTGATCCTTGCCTCATATCATAACAGAGCCCGGTATTATTCTCAATCCTCAGCTTCCTCCCCATTCTCCAAACCATTTCTTTACCAAATGGAATCAGCCCGGTTAGCTTGTTGTTCTCTAATCTCAACTCACTGAGTTTCTCCAAGTTTCTAAAGCTTAGAGGTATCGACCCGTTTAGCTCATTGCCATCCAGATGAAGAACGCGGAGCTTTGTTAGCTCTCCAATGGATTCGGGTATGGGTCCCTTTAGTCCCATGTTGGATAGTACTAGACTGCTTAGCTCCTTCAGGCCCGATAACCCGTTAACAGGGATCGTCGCGGGGCCCATGAAATTGCCCTTCAGAATCAAAGCTCGAAGAGAAATTAGCCCCTCAAGAGAGTTTGGAAGCGGCCCAGAGAGAGAATTATGGCTCAAATCGAGTAGAATCAAGTTCCTAAGGTCGTTTACCGAGTCGGGTATTGGACCCGTTAACCTGTTTCTGCTCAGATCAAGCTTGATTAACGGATCGGAATTGGTGAGGAAAGTAGGAACCCGGCCTTGAAGAGAATTACGGCTGAGATCCAGAACATTCAAATCGGGCATATTCAACTTCGGAATCCGACCCGTTAAAAAGTTATCGCTCAAATCCAGTTTCCTGATCCGGGTCAGCTTCCCCAAAGCGGGCGGAATGCCCGACCCGAGACGGTTCCCATGAAGATCAAGCAGCTTGAGCGACGTCAGATTCCCCAGCTCAGCAGGGATGGCCCCCACGTGTCCATTCTCCCGCAACACGAGCGACCGTAAAGTGGGACCCAGCTGACCAAGGAACGCTGGGATTGGCTGAGGATTGCCACCGAAGCAGCGGTAGAAGAAGAGGGTCCGCAGATGGGTGAGTTTTAGACGGTGGAGGGTCGCGGTGGTCCGGTCGCACGTGGGGAACGCCGTGTCGTCGGAGAGAGCGCCGAACGAGAGGGAGACCACGTGGTACACGTCATCGGTGTCGGGCGTGCACTCGATTCCGTGCCAGCGGCCCCGGCACACGTCGGGTATGGACCCGGCCCACGAGTTGCCGGTGGACGCCATGATTTGGTAGACCGCCTTTTGTTCTTCCGGGTCTGTTCGGGCGCGGGTCGAGAACCCGGTTTGCGGGGAGTCCAGTAAGGGGGAGTTCGAGTCCGGGAGGACCACGGTGAACTCGGAGTGAGATTGTGGGGCCCATGAAATAACAAGAAGCGAGAGGAAGAGGAACATTCTGTGTGTGTTTTCTTTTTCTTTTTTTTTTGGGGGTGGGAAATGGAGGGAGAGTTGAGAGGGTTTTATAGGTGGGCTGATGGGCGGGGAAATGACGAGAAAGGGCTTGGCTGAGTAGGGGTTGGGGGATGGTAGGAGGTGTAATTTGGTGGAAGTTGAAGGGGGAGGATTTGAGGTTTGGCAGGAGATGGGAGGCCACAGGGGGTATTTAGTGAGTTCACGGGGATCGGAGGGAGGAGTTAAATGAAGTAGGGATTGGATTTTGGGGGGCTTTTAATTTAATTCACGAGGATGTCGTTTGGGGTGTTATTTCGGACGAGGACAAGTTTGGATTCTCAAATAATAGTCAGAGTTGTTATGGTATTAATAAATTCGGAGGGGGTAAAAAAAGAAAGAAAGAAAAATAGTTACGCGCCTTCAATTGGACGGAAGTAGTTGATTTTCTGGCTCATTGGTGCGTTGGCTGTGTGAATCTATCAATTTGTATGGTTAATTTTTGGGGTTTACGATGGAGTTCTTAAAGTTTCTTGCTTTAATTTATACTGCGTATTTTTTCTAGAGAAAAACTTTTTTACAATGTGGTTGGTTCTTTGTATAAGTATTGCAATTTCATTGAGGTTTATAACTTTATGTTAGGGTTAATTGCTGACAGACGTCACAGACTCCGTTGTAAATAGAGCCCCTATAGTTTTATATGTGTGGATGGATCCATTTAGCACCACCCAGCCTCAAATAGGACCCTTGTAGTTCTATTCGAGTGGATAGACCCTTGAAGTTCAGATAGACCCCTAAAGTAAACTTTTTCAACTCTTTTAAAAGTACGAGAAGTAACAATTGGGATTTATCTACACGATAGAACTATATGGGTCCATCCACCTTTTTAATTTTTTTTTACTTTTTTAAGAATAAGAAAATTCACTCGTGAGGTCTATCCACAAAATTAGAACTATAAAGGTGGTCTATGGGCGTTATTAAAGGGGTCTATCTTCATTTATTAACCCATTATATTATGGTTTTTAAAATCCATCACTTCCAAGAAACAAATAGTAAAGTGTAACTTTTTGCCCTTCCGCATCTATGCAGCGAGGGGAACAAAGTCTTCAACATCAGATGTCAGCCATATCGATAAGATAAAAAGAAGCAAAGAGGAAGAATCAGAGTCTTTTCGGGCTGAATAAATCTGTTTGCAGGTTTTTACCACGTGTAAAATGTAACATTTAAAACTTGTTTTTCTTTTTAAATTTTTTAGTTCAATATCCGTTAAAACAAATCGTCATATCACAAAAATGTTGGACAAATTTTTAAAACCGACCCCTTTGGATTTTTAATTGCAAAAAACGACCTATTTCAGTTTTATTTATAAAAACCGACCCAGTTGGTTGAAACTGGGTCGGTTTTTGAAATTTTTTCTTCCAAACTTCACGGGAGTTCAACTCCCGTGAAGTTTTGTTATGAGAAAAACTTCACGGGAGTTCAACTCCCGTGAAGTTTCCCAAAAAAATTTAAAAAACCGACCTGTTTTCAGCTAAATAGGTCGGTTTTTATAAATATTTTCAAAACCGGTTGTTTTTTGCAATTAAAAACCCAAAAGGGTCGGTTTTGAAAATTTGTCCCAAAAATGTTGCATATAATTCCAATGAATTTAGTGAATTTAGAATACTACGTGTTATATCATGAAAATCACTAAGTTTAATGAACTCTTAAGAGTTAGCCAAGTGTTAGATTAGACACAACTTAGATATGAACACTACTTAACCAACCAAGCTAACCTCTGTTAGAAAAAGTATAAAGGAGATAGAAATTCTGATGCGTAAAACACTTTCCTTAAAGAAGTATTTCTCCCACTTGATATTCAAAGTTGCTTCGGGTTAATACAAATTTTCTTTCGAGAATGCAACAAAAAATAAAAATTCCAGCAAGCAAATCTGAAATTTTCCACTAATTCGTTGCGAAACAAGTTTGTAGTATTGCAGATGTTTTTTGACAGAAACTTTTGAAAAAGAAGTGAAGTTGAGATATTTGAAATTATAAACTATTTATAGGTTTGAAAAGATGCTTCCAACAATAATAACTTTTCAAAACACTCATTGGAACAAACAGACACTTTTCAACAGCCACTTGTCTATTCATATTTTAAAAATTCAAAATAACATTATATATATATATATATATATATATATATATATATATATATTATAGAGAGAGAGAAGAGAGAAGAAGGAGAGAATGGAGAAACTTGGTACCAAGTTGCCCAAACAACTTGGTAGTGATGTGGCTTAATCTTGTCCCTACATTTACATTGGAGTTGATGAAGGGTGGTTGAGGCTCTATCTTGAGGTGTGATGTAGGGGCAAGATTAGGCACATCACTACCAAGTTGCTTTAAGCAACTTGGACCGAAGGTTCTCTATTTTTCTCATATATATATATATATATATATATAATATATATATAATAATATATATATATATATATATATATTAATATATATAATATATATATATATATATATATATATATATAAAAAGTTAAGTTATATATAATATAGAATATTTAAGTGGTAGCGGCAAGCGTGCTAAGTGCGTCTAATAATCGCGCTACCTGCACACGGTTTAGAAGCATGTACTTTGATCCATTTATCAAAACCCAATAATCATTAAATACTTTTAAACCTCTAAAAGAATGCTCAAATATCCAATGTGGGGCTATCTTGCTTTTACAAACAAATACTAACAACCTCTATAACAGAATAAGTTTGAGAAAAAAGGCGCCTTCAAGTCCATACTATCAAAGAAGTCTGAGTCTGAGACGTACGGTGTTTTTTTGTCGAAGTCCACTAGGGAACATCTTGGATGAGAGAGTGACCTATCAGTTGTTGTGCGCAGCGGAACTCGAATCACACGAAAAAGGACGAGGAAGATCACAACCAATACACAAGCACAAATCACAATCACAGCAAGACAATAAATTTTACGTGGTTCGGCAAGTTTCTTACGTCCACGGGGCAAGGAGGGGGGGGGTTCTTACTATTAGAGATGAAGAGAATACAAAATAGGGTTACAAAAACACTCAAAATCCTAAAACAAAGCTCTCTAAATCTCTCACAAATCTCCCACAATAGGATGCAACAATCTTCTCTCAAAGCTGCTCAAAACTGTCCTTACTTAACCCTAATTATCAGGATTATGATTATATATCAACTCAAAACGAAACAAGTCATAAAACAAAACTCAGGCCTAGACCCGAGTCGCGGTCGATCGCCGAACCCATCGCGGTCGACCGCGAAAAATGACAGAACCCAAAATAACCCTACAGGGTCTCGCGGTCGACCATCGCGCCAGTCGACGTGGTCGATCGCGAAAAGTCCAGAGACTTTTCCTTGTTTCGTGCATGTTTGCGGTCGCTCGCCGAGGCACTCGCGGTCGACCGTCGGGCACCCAAAACCTGTTCTTTGTCTTTTTCTGTGGTCTTCGTCGCTGTGTTCCCCATTTCTACAATTCTCCATCTTGGTGAAGTTTCTTCTAAAACTGAGCCGATACCAAATCATCCAAATGTCCCACTTGTTACGTCCAGGACAAAGTGGAAACAACCCACGATAACAGACTCAATCCACAACAAGTCGGGAACCCAAACGAGAGCTCAAACAATCCTCCCATCAATATTAATGTAGGCTGTCTAAAAATCACAATAGATAGCTTATTCAAACAAACTCCGACAACGGAGGTCACAATCAGACGACTTCCCAATCACTGCATCCGCAACTCCACAATTGCCACAAACGCGACCTCACCTCTGAGATGATTGATCTTGATGGCTGTGACAACAGCATGGCTAATATCGTAGCAACTATTAGAGATGCTGATGAGCAGTGGGACGATTTCAGAAATAAAAAGTTGGACTCAGTTGGTGAGTTGCTTGATAGAGAGCTATGGGCGAATATTCATCTTTAAGACACTATGGATGTTGATTCCCGTCTAGCTCCTACAACGAAAGCTACAATCAAATAGCTTTCGGGTCGATGATCGAAACATATAGTCGAATAGTTGCTTGGTAGAGAGCTATGGGCGAATATTCATCTTTAAGACACTATGGATGTTGATTCCCGTCTAGCTCCTACAACGAAAGCTACAATCAAATAGCTTTCGGGTCGGTGATCGAAAGCGGCAAATAGAGGACTTTTCACATAGATCGAGAAAGGTTACAATTCAACGACACTTCCGACAACTGATGAAAACTCTATGCAGCAGTCTTCACAATCTACAGTGAAAGTTACAATCTGACAGCTTTCATACCCCACAACAGCTAAAGCCAGGATTACTGAACAACGGTCCTTGCAACGCTCTACAGAAGAAGTTACAAATCAGCTAACTCCTTCTGAAACGCGGGTGTCATCCCCGCGTCATAACTTTGGAAATGAAGGCGACCCTCGCGTCGTCAATGCACAAGCCAAACGTGAGCGACCCTCGCGTTCAATGGTGTTCAGCTAACACCCAACTTCGCGTCTCAATTCAAAGAACACGAAGTTGAGTTCTAAACGCCAGAATGGGCGTTTGACTTATTCAAACATAAGTCGAACGGTTCCAAAACCGTTTATCCCACGTTCTGAGGGATTTTCGCCCACGTAGGAGCGGATATAGGGGTCAGTTACAACCTCTTATCCCCCTATAAAAGCTCAACGAACCCAACAGAGCAACGGGTTGGATTTTTGGCATCTGAACCACACAGGTTGGATTCAAAAGATCTAAACCATACAGGTTGGAGATTTTCAGTTCTAAAACAAACTCGACAGAGTTAAAGGATCGGATTTTTGATAATCAGATCAAGGGTTGGATTCTTTATCATCAAAACCACTCAGGTTTGGAGATTCGGCAACAACAGCAACGAAATCCTTGGAGATAGGATTTTTGAACCAACCTCAGAAAATCAAATCTGAGAGAATCCTTCAACAACAGAAAAACAGCTTGATTATTAACCGAATTTTCGGTTCCAACAACTCTATTCACAGAGTTCAAACTCGTTCAGAG